CTTCGAGATGACAAAGGCCAGCTGCAGTCCGCAAGCGAACAAATCGAGCAACTCGAAACATACTACCGTAACCTGTATGCGGCGGACAAGGACCCTGCAGTTGCTGGTGAAGCCAGAGCCTCAGTGACACTACGTATCGACCCGGGGCAACTGACACGCGCTCTGTCACAACTCTCACCATACAAGGCCACTCCCCCGGGTCAGGCCACTAACTCCCTCTGGAGGCTAACTGCAGATCTAACTGCACCTGTCTTGTGCGACATGGCGTCCCAATGGAGGCACATCCCGGCCGACTGGCGGGATGCATGGTTGGTCTTAGTACCAAAGGTTCCGAGGCCGGTCTCGCCTCGGAACCTGCGTCCTATTGGACTCACTGAGCCCAGCGGGCGGGCGTATGCCCGCCTGCTGCAGCAGCAACTCAGGGAATATGCATCCGCCTATCTTCGGGAGGCCTCGCAATACGCGTATCTCGGCGGCCGCGAGGCCGCAATGGCCATACACCGAGTATCGCAACATTGCAAGTACGTACAGATGAAGTGCTCGCATGTGATTCGCACCGTTGCCGACAGGCAGGAGTGTCGACCGGCGTCTGCTCCCCACTTCGCCGGAGTCCAACTGTCGTTGGACCTCTCCAACGCCTTCGATCTCCTGAATTGGAGGTTGATTGATCGCGCTTTGCTTGATGCTGGTGTTGACCCCGAGCTGAGAAACCAGGTCATGTCGTGGTATTATGAGGTCACATATCACTTAGAGCATCTCAACAGGACGGCGCAAGTCACTGCCCAGCAGGGACTGCGCCAGGGCTGTCAACTTGCCCCGATCTTGTGGGCGATGGGAATGGGATTTGTCTTCAAATCTGTGGCTGCTGACCCGAGTAATCAGGTCACCCCGACCTGGCTGCAGCACAACACCACGACTTACGCAGACGATATCCACCTTATGGAAGTGGCGAGCTCCTCCTCGCACCTAGATCGCATTCTGCATAACTTCGGTACGATGCTTGATGCATTAGTGGACAATGACATGATCATCAATTCAGCCAAATCAGCGGTTCTCCTTAGACACAGAGGATCCTTCATCAAAAAATGGCTCAGGAGACACAAGCAGCACACCTCAGAAGGAGACTTCTTATACCTTCGCACGCCTAAAGGCCGCGAGTTTCGCTTCCCCATCAGAGATCAGCACACCTATCTTGGAGTCAAAATCTCGTATCATGCCATGGCCAAACACACAGTCCTGTATCGACTACAGGTGGCCAATCAGGCCTGGCAACGACTCCGAGGTGTCCTCTGCTCCAGCGGACGCCTTGCGCTGCCTCACAGAATCTCCCTCTGGAAGGCCACGGTTCTACCCACACTGATGTACGGCCTTGCTGCTGTTGATCCGGAGCCCAACGACCGCGCTCGTCTGCAGTCCCTTATCATCAAGCATGTAAGAGCCATGGCTAAGTCCTTTGCACATATGCACTATGAGTCATCATGCAAAGTCCTTCTGCGATGTGGAGTCCTGTTTGCTCAGGACCAGCTCCAGAAGGAAACGGAAGGATTACTCAGGCGCCTGCGAACCCATGCTGACACCACGCCTCTAGTTTCAACCTCCCATCTGGAGGCACTTCGAGCCCAGGCTGCCAACTTACAGGCGGCCGACCTGACTCAGGTTAATGCCATCACCCAGTCTATAGGAGAGGAGTTTGGGCACTCCTGTCACGAATGTGGTCGAACCTTTCGCTCCTTTCGACTTCTACGCTCCCACGAGGCCAAGTGGCATCAGCTTAAAACTCCGAATCCCCAGCAGACTGCATTTGATCGATACGAGCACGGCACGGATGGTCTCCCTACGTGCAGGCACTGCGGACATCGGTTTCGACAATGGGCAAATCTCAGACAGCACATACAGCAGAACAGATGCCAGATCCTCAGGACAAAGAGTACCCCAGGTGACTCCTCCAGTCGCTTGACGAATGAGACCAAGGACGAGGGGGGAGCTAAGGTCGTCGAGAAAGAGGGTCCACCAAAGGAGCTAAACGACGCTCGACAGGCGGAGCTGAGTCAGACACACGTGCACGAGGCAGGCTTGGCCCGTCCCGGTGGAACTGCCTCTCCTGAAGCAGGTGATCGTGAGTCCGCGACACAAGAGACAGCAGAAGTCTTAACTACTGCCAGCCATGGGCTCACGTCCACGAAGTCAATCCCCCTCCAGGATTGGCCACTGGTCAAGCAGACGCTACAGGCCGGCTCCTGGACGGCACTTCTGGAATGCGCAGAGGTGCAGGCATATCTTCAGCATTACTGTCCCATTTGCATGCAGTGGGCTGCCACGCCGAATGGACTCAAGTGTCACATGACCAATCAGCACGAAGAATGGAAGCAGCTCCAGAAACCTATTCAGCATTTACTGCAAAGCTTCAGACGACACACTGTGCTCCCATGTAGATACTGCAAACAATCTCGAGTGAATAAAGACAGACATTGGCAACAGCGTCATGTGCTGAGTTTTTGTGCCTTTCTCCGGGTAAGATATGACGTCCAATCTTCGGGACGACATGGATCTGGACGATCAGGAGCAGCTCTTCTTCCAGCACTTGGGGCCACTATCCGGAGTACGTCGAGACCCCAGTCGAGCGGACTCCAGCAATCCTCCTCAGAACTCGGGGGCTGTAAAGAGACCGAGAGTGGAGGGTCCGGAGAGAAGCAAGGGCAAAGGCGGAAAAGGAAAGGGCAAAGCCAAGGGGAAGGGAGGGCCTCCTCCAGGCCCCACCCTGGCCCAGGGCATTTATCCTTCGGCAAAAATGTGGGCATACAGCAATGGCTCCAGCGAGGGCCTAGCACAGACGACGCCGTGGACAACCGACTCGCAAGGGCACCAAGATTGGATGGAGGAGAGAATGGACCGACTCACACAGATGGTCCTCCGCCAGGAGCAGACCTTGTCTGCTCTCAGACAAGACCTGATGCTGTACTTGTTTGTCCGAAGCGGCGAGCAGGGCATGATCCCCATCTTGTGCCAGGCGGCCGAAAAATGGAGAGCTATCAAGGAGGAGGCGCCGGAGAAACTGGGATATTCTCTCAAACTAGCGATGTTCAAGCAGTTGATGATTACTCTGCAGGAACGGCTTACCGAGACGTCGAAAAGCCAACAGGCTATGGATCACGCCAAGTCCCTGAACTGGGTCGATCAGGAGGGCTGCTGGAGGATTCTCAAATGGAACGGAACCAAGCAAAGCCTGGAGATCGACACCACCATTCAGCCGACATCAACAGAGAATCTCCTGACCCAAATAGTGCAGGTTCGCAAGGCCATCACCGAGACCTCGCTGATCCGGTTCAAGTCTATCCGAAGGCTGACGGAGGGTGTGCAGACAGAGTGGGTGACCTTCCAGATCTTCGTGTCCCTTCGTCCGGAGGGATCTCCCATCTGGAGCTCTCTGACGTCGTGGATCGGACAAGCTGCATTTCACACGATCGGGTGCAGACTGCGGCGCGACCGGCCACAATACGATGCTCTGGCAGCCAGCCTCTGGGGGTAAGCACCGGTGCGATTCCCAGTCTCCGCACGCTCCTGCGGATTTCGCTGCACAATGACACAAACCTATGTTATCTGAACTCCACTGCTCTTGCAGCCCCGTGGACCCTCCTCCAGGCCCAGCTGCATGGGCACCCGACTACTCGCATTGTTCCGGCCCTCAGACTACTGTGCAGTCGTGAGAGACAAACACACAATCTGCCTGTGAAATTGCTTCAACATCTCCCATGGCAACTACTGCTGCAAGGCTGGGAGAACGTTCACCAACAACATGATGCCCCAGAGCTTGTCATGCACCTGTTGCCGAGGCTTCACGTCAGCAGTCTTGAGGGGAGATGGGAGGCCAGAGTCCGTACTGAGCGAGAGCTGCGAATCACGGATACCGGAAGCTTGCATGCACCACTCATTATGTTCCCTCATCCAGGGGACACTCTTTATCTTCAGCGAGTGATTGATCAGTGGCATCTTCAGGCCGCTGTGCATGCACTGGTGTCCCCACCCAGCATCCTCTGCCTCCAGCTTCAGCGATTTACAGGTGAAAGGGGTAATCTCCTGCGCAATGTTCGGCCCCTACATGACTGTCATCACATCGTCCATGTGCCGGTCTTCACCTCAGAGACGACCACCCATGTTCGCCCCGCTGCCTATGAGGTCACAGCAATCCAGCTGCACTTCGGCAGATCGCCCGAAACGGGGCACTATCGGACGGTACTCCGAGGACAAAAAGAGTTCGGCCCCTCTCACACATGGATCACCGATGACAACTGCCCGGCCGTGTCAGCTACCAATGCACATCCCGATGCTGCATATCTGCTCTGGCTGCGCCAGGTGACTGAGTGAAGGTCATAACGAGTTAGAGATATCGGAAGGAGCTGACAACTGTCCTCCTGAGTCCAAGAGAGACTCCGGATATCATGAACACCATGATGTCTGTCTGCTCGCTAGGCGATAGAGGACTCTCGCTGCGTGGGGAATGAATGCTACTGCAACAACAACAACTACTACTACTACTACTACTACTATCACCAGCACTGCCAGTATTGCTCAATATGGCCGAATATTGCTACTACTAGTACTACATTACTACTATTGCCTTTGCTAGTGCCACAGCCACTGCTGCTGCTACTGCTCCCACAGCTACTCCTGCAGCTACTGTTACCCCTACTGCTACTGCCGCTGTTGTTGCTACTGCTGCTGGACACTTCCAGCAGAACGGGCACCTGATCTCCATTGGCCTACCACAAAGCAACCGGCTGCTGACAGGTGGTGGCGGGTTCACGGGTAATGCTGCCACTCGGCTTTTTCTTGCCAGACTCGGAATACAGGGTCTCAAGATTTCTGAAGGGTTGTTGGAGGGTTTTCTGCACGGTGCAGGCCTTGCAAGTGAAGTGTCGCACTGCAACATTGCTTTGATGATCGTCCGCCGGTTTGGGGCTTGCTCTCACTTCTTGGAGCTTGCGACTTCTCGTCCGAGCACCATGCTTCGAATCTGCGGGGCCGCGTCGGGTGACATGCTGGCTTCGATAAAGGCCTCTGACTTAGATGAGAATGCGCCCCTGAAGTCACTGAAGCAGTGGCTTCAGAAGGAGTTTGGCCTGCCAGAGTTCATGGTGAAGCTCATGCACGATTGCCGGTGTTTGGAGGCTGAAGCTCAGCTACGAGGTCTTGCAGATGCCCAGCTGGATCTGATTTTGTTGGACCAAATGCCCGATGGCGAAAAGTTCTCTCCAAAACAGCAAGGCGAAGCACTCCATTGTCTCTGTGCTTTCCGAAGGCTCGAGGCTGCAAAGGCCTTGCTGTCGCGAGGCGCCGACCCGGACTTCAGGCTTCATGGGGACACGCCTTTGGATGTAGCATTCCGACACCGCAGGTGGGAAGTTGTGCAAGTATTGCTGGACGGTGGTGCCAAAAGGCTGGGCAACATCGACCTGCACAACATCAATACGGCTCCTGATTCGGGTGGTACCTTTCTTTACAAGGCGGCCCGAGAGGGTGCGACTCTGTTGGTGCAGTTTCTTCTGATGGCCGGCGCGGGCATTGACAAGGCAAGTGGAGTGGATTACGATACACCCTTGGGCACTGCATGCAGCAATGGACACCTCGACATCGCGAGGCTGTTGCTGGAGGCCGGTGCCAACAAGCAGAAACCTCGGGGGAGTGAGCCATTGATGCGTGCATGTCGAAACGGCCACGCCGACATTGTGCTTTTGCTCTTGGAGGCAGGTACGGATAAAGACCAGGTGTTTCGACCTCATCTCTGCACACCTCTGAGCATCGCCTGCGAAGGTGGTCATGTGAATGTGGTTAAGCTTCTATTGGAGAAAGGTGCAAGTCCCAACAAGATTTGCGCCACACGTGAGCCTGGTGCACTCTATGCAGCATCTGAGAGCGGCCGCGCAGAGATCGTCGAGCTCTTACTGAGATCTGGTGCCTCTAGGGAACAGGCTTGTGGGTTTGATTTGGACATGCCTTTGCATGTCGCCTCTCGGAACGGCCACCGAGACGTAGTGAAGCTGCTGCAGGCAGCTAGAGCCCTACGCGAGCCGTGAGCACACTGTTGGGTAATTCGTTTGGGAGTGTACAGTGTACAGCCGGCTGCTCCTACGCTCAGAAGAGATCGAAAGCTTGGCTCTTGGCTCGGATCTGTTGGGCTACCCCTTTCAATTCTCTTTCTGATGTAGAGCAAAAGAACTCGTTTCAAACCTGCGGCTCTCAGCCTGTGGTTCCTGGAGCGCTCACGCCCTGGAGCTGTGTTTGGGACAGCGCACTAAAAGTTGGATCATTATTATTCCCGTGCCTGGGGTTTCTATCGTCAGAGGTTTATTTTTTCATTTTTTGTCACTACCCTACTATTACTGTCCACTACCTTTCTGAAAGTGGCCTATCTCAGAATCCCAGCACGAATGATCCTGTCTCCGTGTACTCACGCGCTAAACCTTAAACACTGCAAGGGGCCCCTTGCCCCAATCCCAAAAGCACAAGCCTCAGGCTTTCCGGCAGCCACCGCGGGGCCGCCGGTGCAGCTGAGGCGTCACCAAGCCTTGGTGGCCATGTCGAGGCAGGGGCACGGACCACAGCAATTGAGAGGGTTTGGGGGTAGTTGTACTGTAGCAGTGATCGTGCGGAAAAGTTAGGATGATGCAGTTGTTTTTTTTTTTGCTTTGTTGTTGTTGCCACTACGACGACGACGACGATGACTACACACGTTGTTGTGCACTGTTGTGAGTTGTAGAGTGTGTTAACTTCTTTGCAGCTTGCAATGTTACTGGTTCTAAGCAGAGGAGCCGCATGCAATGTTATTTTCTGAGGTTGGTTTCACTGCATGCATGGTGACATGTCTGTCTGTATGTATGTATGTATGTATGTATGTATAGGGCTCAGAAGACGCCGTGAGCAGGCGATAGCTGGTAGCCCCAAGCACCAAGAGGTGCGCTTTTTTCAGGCCAAGCCATTGCTTCCCGTGCTTGGCATCGACGGCAGCGCAAACAGCGCTCAAGGGCAAGAGCTTCTCTCCGGAAAGGAGAACAGCTCAGTGGCCAAAAGCTGCTTTCCCTGGCCTACCACCACGCTACGGATCCCCTCTTGAAGCGGCTCCTTTTGGGGCAGCCGTCTCGTATGGGAAGAGGCGGAAAACAAGGAGGCCAACAGGGAGGTCAGCCATGGCGCAGTGGAGAAAATGGGTTTCGCATCTGGCCTGGGGCCTACTCTCCCTCACAGCAATCGGCCTGGGACAAGAGGCCGTGGCGCAGCGATTCTTCCAGAACTGTTGCCTCCTTTCCTTCGTATGCTTCGGTGAGCCTGCCAGCCGACAGGACGACGACTTCCCGAGATCCTTCTGCCCGTGCCGATGGTCGCTTAACAAGGACATCTGCCACCCCTGCCATTCAGAGTGCCTTGAACCATACTCGCAAAGCAGAGGGGAAGGTGATTCGTCTGAAGAATGCCCTGCAAGACTCCGGGCTGCTCTGGAAGGAATACGAAGCTCAGATGAAGGAAGCGTTCCGGAAGGAGAGAATCCGCTTTGCAAAGGACCGAGCAAGCTTGGAAAAAGAGATCCAAGATGCAGAGGAGGCACAAGAGGCTGCACGGCAAGGCTTGCGAGATGCCTTTTATGGCACACAGAGTGGCGAGGGAGCCGGGGATGCCAATATGCTGGAGGGTCCGGATGCGGACCAGGTCTTCGAGGAATGGGCTCGAGAAGACGATGGGGCCGCCAATGCCATGCTCCGGCGTGCCCTTGCCCCGGCCATGACGACACCCAATCGGCCCACGAATGCAGCTCCAAGGTCGCCACAAGTCGGAGCTCCTGGGCTAACACCCGGTGCGGTACCTCTGGGCACGCCTATAGCAGTCAACGACCCCTACTACACGACGATGTCGCCTGCCATGATTCCTGCCGCTCTGCAACAGCAGCTTCAGCAGCAGATGATGCATGGACAGATTCCGGTTATGCCGCCCGGTTTGACTCCGATCTACGAGGCTCCAGCCCCACATGCCCATGCTACGGCACCGGCTCTGGCCCCAGAGGCCGGCGTGCCCATTTCGGCAGGGGAACATGCCGAAGAAGGGTACGGAAAGAGCCCTACTTTGCAAGATCGTGTACAACGACGACGGGCCCTGGAGCCATTTGGTGGCAGTCGTGGCCCCGCTTCTGGGACAGAGGCAGACCCTACAGGACAAGGACCGAGGTTGGCAGCCGGGATACGTATCGTGGAAGACGACGACGAGTTGGGAAATGCCGACGAATCCGATCTCAGCTAGAGTTTGATTTGATCCCCCGTGGAAGGCCACCACACCCCTTTTCCCTGAAGGACCCTCTTTCGGACGCTTGGGGTACAGCGTCTGGAGGTGTGGTCTGGATGGCAAGTGGAGGTGTGGAGGCTATGCACGGCTGGATCTTTCGGAGGCCTCTGAGGTGTCTGTACAGTTTGCGAGGGAAGTAGTTGTACAGCCCTTTTTGTCAGGTTTCGAGCCAGACCGCCACCGGAAGCCCATTCGTCTTTGTCTGTCCTGCTCACCATGGAACTGCCTCATCCTCCCACCTGGATTTGGGGCCCTTTTGAGTGGCTTCCCTCAGCCACCAGGTTTTCATTCCTCAGCGTGCAACTTGCCTTCCTGTTGCCCCGCTGGTTTTGGTTCGTCTAAATGCTTCACCCCTCACCGCGCATACTCCGGGCATGGGTGCAGTTTTGGAAGTAAGACTTGGGCAGGGCGCGTAAGAGATAGATCGGTCGCTCTGGGCTATCCGCCTGTCCAATCCAGCAGGTTATGCAAGAAGTCTTTTGCGAGGGGCTTCTTGGTGTTTTTGCGAGGTTATGATCCGGGGTTTTTGATTGGGGCAGAGTGCGTAAGAGATAGATCGGTCGCTCTGGGCTATCCGCCTGCCCATTTCCCCGAAAGCTGCCGCACCGGTTCAATACCAGATCCTCATCCCTATGCCGAGGTTCTTGGTAAGGCTTTTGACCCTTGGAGTATTCTAGCAGAGTGCGCAAGAGACAGATCGGTCGCTCTGGGCTGTCCGCCTGTTAGACTCTCCCGGGCCATTAGTGAGACACAGACCTACAATGTTTTTCTTTGGGTTTGGCTCATGGACTTTGGAGCCTGCCTTGCAGCCTTCTTCGTGACCTTGCAGCTGCTGCTGTTGTTGGCACTGTGGCGACTGCTTGTACGCACGATGCCTGGGCGAGCCTCGCCCTTGTCTAGAGCCCTGTACCTACCCGCAGCCTCTGCCACTGACGGACTGGTACTTCCCTTTACGGGTCTTGTAGTTTTTAAGGACAAGCAGTATGGGCACCCCCTCCCTTCGGGACGAGCGCCTGAGCCGCGCAAGCGCTTGCGAGGAGCCCCCATGCACTTTGCGCATTTTGCGCATTTTGCCATCTGGCTCGGATGGGGCACTTTACCTGCCCAGGTGTGGGCAGCACCCGAAGGCCTTCAGGAAGCTATTTCACAAGCTACTGAGATTGCTGAGGCCATGCATGCTTGTTCAAGGGATAGTGGGGCTTCGGCGCCTTCCGACTTAGACTCCATACCTGGTTCCAACCCATGGAGGCAGATGGTTGCTCAGGTTCAGGCGGAGTCACTCCACAAGGCCTATGGTCCTGAAGCCTGCCCTCACCTGCGTGCCTCGAATGTGTGGCCGGGGCCAGAGACCGAAGGAGGGTCTTGTGGGCATCTAGAGGGTTCCTCTCCTGCTCAGAGTAGCCAACCGCCTGCATCGTTGCCGGTGCAGGATGCCGAGGTTCAGCCTGCTTTCTTGGCTGGTGAGGCGGGCCTTGATGCCGCAGAGATGGAAACGTCAGGCCCAGGCGTAGCCCTTGATATACCGGCCATCTTGGCAGCCCCAGGCTACAGGATTGCCCGCATTACGGCAGGTATTTCATTCCCTTCTCGGGTTGACTTGCTCGAAAGCCAAATGCGGGCAGTCCCGGATTCGGGTGGACCTCACGGTGTGGAAGATAGGGAAGCGAGCCATGCTTAAGCAATCCGCTAAGTTTGATGTGCCCTTTCTGCAGTTCAGGGTTCCAGATTTCACAGGGCCGAACCCAAGCATTCCCGGTGACACCAATGCTGGTGGAATGTTTCTGCCACCACTCCGCGACATGGGGGACCGATCCCCGTTGAGGCCTGGAGTACCACCACTGCAGGCTGCCCTGCCCGAGGAGGCGCAAGCCAACCTTCTCCCAACTGTGCGTGCTCTCTTCGTCATGATGATAGAGGGTTACAGACCAGAAATTATCCCTGTCACGCTGCCAGTCCCCTGTAACATTGGCTTAGCGATGCATGAGCTGCAAACCTTTAGGTTGCCCGAGGTCAAGAGGCTCTTCCCAAGGCTTGTCCCGGTTCCCTACCAACCTGTGCCTGGATTCGCCGTTTTCCTTGCAGCACCAAGGTGGCCTAAAGCTGAGGTTGAGGTTTTGTTGGACTGTCGAAGTTTCTCAGGTCAACTTCAGGCGGTTTTCTTACCTCCCGTTGTCAACGCCGCCCTCCTGCGTGCACGTGCCGGCATCGCCTGGTGGAGAGATGTTTCCGTCTGGGTCGAGCCATACATTCGGCCTGTTGGAGCAGACGAACTATCAAGGATCCGTCGTTGTCTTTCAGGTGGTTGGAACTCCTGTGCCCCTTCTCGCCGATCTCACAGCCATGTTAAGGGATGCTGGTTGCTGGGACCATGCGGTTCCCATGCCCTTTCTTTTCGATCCCGCACTATGGGTCCTTACTGATGAAGGGGCTTTTCGCTTCGCCATTGAAGGTGCCAGACCTCGCCGAGTTGTACTGGCACAGGTTCTGGAATATGACCCGGCCAGACTGGTGGCTGTTGCCCCAGAGCCACCAATCCGCAACTATTGCGACCAGGGAGCCGCCACGGAAGCAGTGCTTGTCGTATCCCAGCGTGTGCCCCTGGACAGAGGGTTCAGGACAGGAGCCTGCGTTGTGGTCATAGACCAGAGGCCCCTGTTACTGGGCATCACCTGGAGGTTTGTTACCGATGGCCTGTTTTCGATCCGGCAGTACTCTGCGGAGTTGCCCAGAGGGTGCCCCCCAGGTTTCCAACTTGCTGCAACGGGGGCTTTCCCGGTGTCCGGCACCAACCTACTGCGTGTTTTCGATGCCACCCGACTCGTGATGGAGTTCGTTCCGGTGCAGCCGCCGCAGCCAAATGCAGAGGTGTCATCCTCCGAGGCAGGTTCCACTGTGGTCACCCTGTGTTCCAGCTCGGAGGGAAGCTCATGTTCTAGTAGCGGCTCTGATACACCCCCTGATGAGCCACCCGCCGGACCCCCTCCTCCGAGGCCAGTGTATGGACAAAGGAGATCTTGTGAGATTCCTCCGACTGCCATTACTGCAATGGTCCTGGCGTCTTGTTTGCCGATGTCGGAAGCATACTCTTTTGATGATGGCCAATATGCTTCAATCCTCGCTTGCGCGCTTACTACCCATCTCCTTGTCCAGATCTGGGTTCCTGCGGCCTTCGTGTTCGCGATTTTGGAGCGGGCCTGGCGGGGCATGAGTGCGGTTAGTTGCAAAATGGCTGATGACCCGTCCTTTACTGCTGAGGCACATTGGCTCCTTGGCTGCCTCTGTCAGGCGACACGGATTTTGCAGACTCCCCAGTTCGCCCTTCCACGAGACCTTGCAAGGCTCATGCAGGAGGAAGGAAGTGACGACGAGCTTGAGGATGATGTGCTGCCACAAGATGTGGCTGTTACCTTTGCTATTCTCGCCCCAGAATATGCGCCTGAGTTTGTCACTGTTGTGTTGCAGCTGCCATGCACGTGGGAAGAGGCTGAGCTTTTGATTCCGGCTACTAGAACCACTGCGCCGGGTGTCCGCTTCCCACATGTTCGCCCGGTCTCGTTACAGCACACCCCAGGTTTTGCAATTCTGACTGCAGCACCTCGTTGGGATCCGTCGTCCACTGTGGTTTGCCTCAATTGTTCTGCAATCGACGGCCGAATCTTTGCTGCTTTTGCCCCCTCTTATATTGATTATGAGGGGTTGTGTTGGATGGCTGCATTGCCATCTGGACTTGATTACGACGTCTATGTTGATGGTGACGACCAGCCGTTGGTTCGGGATCAAGAGATCCATCTGACCCAAGGGATGCAGGTTGTCTATGTGGAAGAGGGGCACCCCGTTCCGACAGGCTATGCGCTTGCACTGCTCCTCACCTCACCAGCCTACTGGGATGATGTGAGGGCTTTTCCAGCCCCAGCACTCCCGGACTACTATTGCATCGCCACGGAAGCGCGACACCTTTTGTGCTCCTGCGATTTCGGGCGTCCGTGGTCCATGCGACGCAACATTGCTAGCATGATTGGATCTGTTCGCCAGCGCTTCCACATAACGCCATCGAAACCGCCCCTGTGTGACATCGCTGTCCATGGAGTCAAGTGCAGAACTCTGCTTGCAGCCTGCGACTGCGGGAATCACGAGGATGATTGCTGTGCATTCTTCCTGGATTTGAGGCCGGTTCGTGAAGGGCTCAGGCTCAGGCTCAGCTACGGGTACGCACTTGACCTCGATTTTCTCCTAGATGTGCTCACAGCCGAGGCCCCCAGGGGATGGCGAGCACAGATCTCGGACTCTCCTGCTGTCTTTGGGGGCCGTGTTGTCCTGGAACCAGGTGCGGTCCTCACTGTTGACTTCATCCCTGATCAAGGGCCTGTAGCAGCAGTTGCCCCGGAAACGCAGGCTCAGGATGGCTCGGCCCCTTCTGAAGTTCCCAGCTCCAGCGCTGCCACGCTCGAAACTCACGGTAGTTCTGCTGGTCAGGAAGGTGAGCAGGATGCAGGTCAAGCTCGCGTCGAGAGCAATTCTGACGAGCTAGATAGTGCCACGAGCTCCAACCTGCGTTTCAGGTCCTTTGTAGTCTTGGGACAGGACTATGCGCCAGAGCTGGTGCAGCTTGATCTACCTGCACCGACTACGGTCTTTGATGCACTAGTCAGCATTTCTGCTGCCCGGAAGCCCAGGGATCGCTTTTGTTTGCCGTACCTCATTCCCGTGGCCCCACAACCGTCAGGGTCTTATGCGCTTATCTTGGCACTACCACCATGGCCAGTGGACGGTGCGTACGTCGCATTTGACCTCAGTGCCATTGACGGACGCATGTTCGTCCTTCAAATCGCTAAGCGAGTTGACCGCCAAGACCTGTTAGTTGCTGCAGGGCTCGTTGGCAGTAATGATGTGGACATCTATACTAGAGACATGCCGTGGGCATTACCCGCGGATTTTCAAGTCGATCTGGCGCACGGCGACCTTGTGCAATTTGTACCAGAGGAGCAAACGGTCGCTGTCGCGACTGCCCTCGCTGACATGCTCGCATCGCCCGCTCACTGGCGGTTCGCCCTTCCCACTATGAATACGTTTCTAGGGGATACCTGGGTCATCCATGAAGCCGGGGCCTTCTTTCATCAAGTCCGGCCAGAGCGGCGGCAGCACAGCAGACTTGGCATTTTGCCAGTCAATCTTGTTGCCCAGATGCCAAAGCCCAGAATCAGCGATTTCTGCAGGAAAGGGCAACACACAATGAACGTCATGTATGCTGCTTGGGCTCCAGGCTGTACCAGTGCTGAAGATCTACATGAAGCCGTTTGCTTCATCGATCTACGGCCTGTTTTGTGTGGCCTGTACGTTGCGAGGTGTTCCGACTACTGCCTTGATGTCTGTGAGCTCCTCAAACGATTTGTAAGCCGGACCCCGCCGGGTCTACAGGTTCAGGCTGAGAGGAGGGGGACATTGCTGCCTCCGTACGAAAGGGCTTTGCCGGTAGTAATGGGGATGTCATGACGGTCTTCATGCTATCTGAGGCATTCGTGCGAGAAGGGAGCCACGATGGTGGAGGGCCGCCGGGGCCCCCCCCACCCCATGACTCCCCCGACGCCGAAGATCCCGAAGATGGGGAGCCCAACATAACAGGGACGACTCCGACGGCTGCCAGTGCCAACAGTAATGCCGCACCCGTCTCAGAAACAGGAGGATCCGGAGCGTATCAGCTGTCGTTACGCCGCACAACCATGCCATCGCGGCCAATCCGAGCCAGTCGACGATGGATTTTCAGCCTTGCATTGGCATGTTGGCCGACATGTGTCCTCGCAGGGCCCATTCGGTCTCCACATGCGTTGTGCCGGAGTTTGCCTGGCACAGAGCAGGACAGCCTCTCCACCGTGACTCGGTCTGGCCCTCAAAGTGATCGCTTGCATTTTGGCAGACTCCAGGGCGGTGTGAACAGACCGGTTCCCACACCGTGTAGGTCCCGCGCCCCTGTGCAAATGCCCGAGCTTGATTGTTGCCCTGGCCCTACGCTTCTTGAGCAGTCAATCGAGAGGTCTCAAGGGCGTGCCTTTTGGGAGGCCTCGACCCTCATTGAAGCCCTGCTTGAACACTTCTGCCCTCGTGTGGAGGGGTAGATAAGCCTAGAAGGTTGAGGCTTTGTGGGGCTGTACCTGGACCAGCCGTCAGTACGGCTTCGCAAGAGGTTTTCATTTTGGCGGGTGTTAACTGCAAGCACTTCATACTTCCGAGTACCCTGCTTCGCAATGAGCCCTATGAGACCGGGCCCATCGCACTTGGGGGCCTCTGTATGCCCTTTTCTCACGGTGACTTGCACCATCTGCTGCAAGCTCCGTGTGTTCTGGCGTCGCCCAGTGAAATTTTGCGTGCCCTAACGGGAGCAGACGGTGCCAAGATCTTTGCCGGTAGCGCCCGGAACCTACATTTTTCGGGTTCGGCCTTGCACTGCTTCCGATGGCTCCTTCACAGCGCCGCGTGGCCATCAGAGGGCCAAACTGGGGTGGGCCTGCATTCTCGTCGATCCCACAGGCCCTAGCTTCGGGGTTCTGTCCGGTGGGCGTCCCGGCTGGTTGTCTGAGGAAGATGAGCCTTCATCGGCGTGTGTGGGCGAATGCTTGGCCCTCAAGCTGTGTGGAACTGTGCTGCGACAGGTGCAGGTGACCGTGTGTGTTGACTGCACTGCCGCGCTGGACATTGCGGCAGGACGAGCTGCTGGACAGGGTAAGGGCATTGCTGGAGTTTTGAGAAGCACAGGTTCCTTTGCCAGAGCCACAGCTGCCCACGCACCAACCTTTGTGCATGTACGAGGGCATCGCGGATCCCTCTTCAATGAGGCCGCTGATGTTGCTGCTAAGGCTGCGGCCAACGGTAGGCACTGCGGAGGATGGCTTGATGAGAGCGATTCCCCATCAGTCTGGTGGGCAAATGGGGGTCGTGCCCTTGATTGGGCCGGTCTAGTCTACCAAGGACTCATGTGTAGCCCAAGCCTGCCGCAGTGTGGGGGTTGCCTGGCTCCGTGTGAAGGCAATGCCGGTCTCACGCCACTGCAATGCATAGTGCCCTTTCTGCCGTTCCGCGCAACACCTGTTCAAGCCTCGGAGGCTGTTGGGACCCTTGAGGTCACACTGGCCACTTACAATGTCTTGTCTCTGAGTGGCACAGCCTTTGCAGACAACCGTCAAGAGGGGCTAGCATTTGCACCGGCCAGACCCACGATACTTTCGGCAGCCCTCCATGCATGCGGCGTCAATGTCGCAGGAATACAAGAGGCCCGCACTGAGGCAGGTACTCTTAACACAGATGGCTTCGCACGCTTTTGCTCGGGGGCTGACAAAGGTAAGTTTGGTGTCGAATTGTGGTTTAAGACCAATCATCAGATCATTGCCGGCAGCGATGATTGTAGTGAGGGTGTTGTGTTTACCCCGAAGGAGTTCACTGTGCTGCATGCCGATCCTAGGCGTATCTTTGTGCTCTTCACTGCGGCCAAGAATAGGTTTCTGTTCTCTTCTCTCCACGCCCCCCACCGTGGAGCAGAGTCACCTATCCTGACAGCTTGGTGGGCTGAGACCAAGCGACTGCTTGAAAGATTTGCATCCAAAGGGGCAGTTTTCCTGCTGGGGGACTTCAACGCCGCTGTCGGGTCCCTCACGTCCAGATCTGTAGGAGACCTCTGTGCTGACACGCAAGATGAATCAGGGGACCACCTTCACGACACCCTGCGTCGTTTGTCCCTCTGGTTGCCATCGACCTTCCATGGCATCCACGAAGGACCCAGCGGCACGTACGTGCAGAAGCGAAACCAAGCTGAAAGCCGAAATGACTACGTTGCCATCCCGTCCCACCTCGAGGCATGCAATATCCTGTCTTGGCGCGAGACCCGTATTCATGCTGGGCAGCCGGTAATTGACCACATTGCGGCCCTTGTCAGAGTCAGCGCAAGGGTCGCCTTGGGACCAGGGGGGCTACCGCGTAGACGGGCTAGCATCGATGCTGGGTTTTTGGGTTCAGTTGAAGGGGGTGCTTGCGCGGCCAGCATACTGGCAAGTGCGCCAAAGGTCCCGTGGCATGTTGGGCCCGATGCTCATGCTGCTATTCTTGTGTCGCATCTGCAACAGGGTTTCGGCAGTCTTGACTCAACCAGGCCTCCAATACCCCGTCACCCATACCTTACTGAGTCCACTTGGGAATTGCAGAGGTGTGTTTCTGGCTTACGCCGCCAGTTGGCGAGGCTCAGGTGTGCTGTCCGCTTCCACGAGGTAGCCGCTGCCTTCGCCTCCCTGCGATGTGGCCACGGAGCCCCTTTTAGGGAAATGAGGTGTTCGCCCTGGACACGGCAAGCTCAGAAATCCTTTAGCAGCCTCGGCCAAAGCCTGCTTGATGCTTCGAAGAGCCTGCGTGCCGGTTGTAAGGCCGATAGAGCTGCCTACCTGGGTAGCCTCGCCGACTCGGTCGGATCCGGCGGGCACCAAGCACACGAAGACCTGAGACGGTTGTTGTGTCGGAGAAAGAAACGACCCTTTGCACCGGATGTCCTGCCCCACAGGGCGAACTGTGTGAGGATAGAGAATCAACCATTGCCCGGTGGAGAAGACACTTTAGTGGCCTTGAAGGGGGCATTGCTATGGTGCCAGAGGCTATTGCCCAGTTGAGTCCGCCTACCGTCCCAACATGCCTGGACATACCGTTGGAGGACTTTCCGGCACCTTCGGATCTGCTTTGTGCAATCCTGCGCGCCAAAACAGGCAAGGCCTGCGGACCGGATGGAATCCCGGCAGAGTTGGGTAGATCGCAGCCAGTTGCCATGCAGCAGCTGCTGCTCCCCCTTCTCCTTAAAATAGGACTCCTTTGCAGGGAACCCCTCGGACTCAAATCGGGAATCCTCACCTAGCTCTATAAGGGGCGTGGGTCTAAGGTTGATTGTGGATCGTACAGAGCAATTATGTTGCTCTCGGTGGTGGCCAAGACTTTTCATCGTGCATTCCGACCGGCCATTTACCGATTTTTCGAAGACAACTCCCTCCCGATACAGTTAGGAGGCAAGAAAAATGCGACCGTCTTGTATGGTTCGCATATCAGCCGAGCCTACGGTAAATGGTGCGCTGTTCAGGGCATCTCTACCATCATCCTCTTTGCCGATGTTTCGGCGGCGTATTATAGTGCCGTGCGTGCGCTTACCGCGCGTGGCAGCGAAGAGGACCAAGGGGGCCCCGCCACACCCGGATCCCGAAGTGCGCTCCCAGCTAGCACAGCCCAGTGCACTGAGCCAAGGTCAGGCCACGGATTGGCTACAAGCGTTGACGCATGACCTGAACCACAGAACGTGGATGACGCTAAACAGCGACGACGCACCTGTGCTCACGACCCAGGGATCGCGCCCAGGGTCATCGTGGGCAGATTTGTTTTTCGGCATCACGATCCCTGGCATTCTGGCCATCAGGGACCAGATGCGCTCTGCTTCGCCCAAGAAGGCACGTGATGTTGTCATTCAATGGGATGGATGGAAAGGGTTCTTTGATCCCCCGCCAGCAGAGTGCCCCCAGCCGGCAACTGCGGCGCTGGACGATGTAGTGTGGGCTGACGATCTAGCCTCCTATTTGGGTGTTGCACAACCCGAGGAAGCGGCATCCTTGATTGGCACCGAAGCCTCCTTCCTGAATGACTCCTTCAGGAGTTACGGTTATTCCCTCTCCTTCGGAGTGTCTAAGACTGCTGCAGTGGTGCATTTGAGGGGACCAGGAGCACGGGCCGCCCGGCGACATCTGTTTTCACTGCAAAAGGGTGTGCCAGCACTTTCGGAAGCTGGTCCCGCGGAGCACCTGCCGCTCGTGCCAGCCTACAAGCACCTGGGTGTCCGTGTCACTGCTAACAACAGTCTTCTGCCAGAAATCAAGCAGAGAGTCGCTGCAGCGTGGGTTTCCTTCCGGCAAGGGAAAACCAAAGTCTTCCGATCCAAGCGGCTAGGTTTGGAAAAGAAAGGGGCCATCCTTGCCTCTCATGTTTTGTCAAAACTAACCTTCAGCTGTGGGGCCTGGGGGCCTTTGCGACAAGGCGAAATGACCCTGTTTGCCCGAACCGTTGTATCGATGTATCGGCAATGTTTGGGACTTGCTTTCGCCGAGGACCAGCATGTCACAACTGCCACTATTTGTGCGCTTGTGAGGCAAGCCGAACCCGGCACTCTCCTGTTGGTTGAGCGGCTCCGTTATGCGAGGCAACTTGTCACCAATGGTCCGGATGTGCTATGGGCCCTCTTGCGCAGTGACGCCGAATTCCTGAAGGGTATGCGTGAAGCCTTCGACTGGCTCTTTGCCTGGATTCGCGCAACAGCCCAATATTGCCGGAACCCCGCCAATAGCTGGGAACCGTGGGTTCGCCTTATGACAACGAGGCAAGGAAGGTTTCGCGGGCTCGTCAAACGTGCCAAGGCCCTTGAGATCATCCGGGTCGCTTCCTACGCCGCCCTGCAGGCGCTTCTTCGATCTCTTTGCCAAATCGGAGGAGCAGTGAACGGACCGGGCCGATCGGATCCAGAGAGGCCAGAGCGGTACCAGGAAGCATGTTTGATTTGTCGCATCGCCTTCCCCACGAGAGCCTCGTGGGCGGTGCACGCGGCTAAGAAACATGGTTATCGTGCACCTGCAACCCTGCTCTCGCAAGAACAGGAGAAGCCTTTGTGTCTTGGATGTGGCCGGCTGTATGCCAATCGTCATCGGCTACGGCGCCACCTCCTCCATGCACAGCAATGCCGAACGAAGTGGGGTAGCTTCCACCCCACAGGAGAGGTGGCCACCGAGCTTCATGTGCAGCTGCCACCCATGCAGGTTCAAGGTGATGAGTGCCCTGAGTTCAGGCCGGACTCTGTGTATATTCATCCGGGCTTAGTCGAGGCGCTTTTAGCTTTGTCCCCACCCGATGCTGATGGGGTCTGGCGCACGTTGTTGGACTTTGCCGAACCCCTGGATGTGCTGCAGTGGTCGCTCAGGGACTGGGCTGCACGACCTGATGCACCGCAAAACGCAGGAAGCATAGCCGAAGACGCCTGTTTGCTGCTTGACCCTGAGTTGTGGTGTGAGGACTTTCGCAAAGGTAAGAGAGGGCCGCTGGGGTTCCTGGCCTGTGCAGACTTACACCGCCCGGAGAGTTGCAGGCTCAATTTTGTGTTGTCTGGTGTGACTGCTGTGTTCAAGGTTGATGACCCTCCACTTCCGGAGTTTGTGTATCCCTTTCGGCACAGCGTACCCCTTGCTACAGCTCGCCGTCATTTGGACTGGCTTGAGCAGGCTTGTGACACCGTCAACGCCTTTCTTTCCTCGTCCCAGCATTCACCGGTCTTCCTCGAGGCTTCTTCGAAGACCCTCTCCTGTTTGGAACCGGTAATGGGCTGGGCTGTGGAGGCTGGATTTGCCCCTAGGCCAGGCGGTCTCGGCTCTCCCTTGTAACCTGTTTTCCGTTTCACAGAATTCAAGTGCTAGGAGCGCGTCCACTGGACTCCAAGCTCGTGGAAGAAGTATGTATGTATGTATGTA